GTAGTTAGAAAGGATACTACTGGGTCATTTGGTAAAACCTGTTAACGTAGTTAGAAAGGATACTACTGGTTCATTTGGTAAAACCTGTTAACGTAGTTAGAAAGGATACTACTGGTTCATTTGGTAAAACCTGTTAACGTAGTTAGAAAGGGTACTACTGGTTTATTTAGTAAAACCTGTTAATGTAGTTAGAAAAGGTACTACTGGTTCATTTAATAAAACCTGTTAATGTAGTTTGGAAGAGATACAACTGATTTCTTTTGTTGAACTTCGTAATATGTTGCATTTATGTTGTCAAGTTCTCTCCTTTCACTGCTACAGATATTATAATTATGTATCTTTAGATAAATGTTATAATTTATTAATATAAAACTTACAAAAACCAATCAAAGGCAAGTATCATTGGGATATGTTGATGACTGTAGATGCCCACTGCAGCCAGATCTGTGATGAGGTAAACCGGATTTCCAGCATTAATCACGCCTGGGGATGCAATAACGAGAAGTAGCGAAACAAAACTAAAACAAAGAAAAAGATTAATGAAGCACACAATGACTACTCAGTTAAAAGGAAAGAAAATATTTATGACTTACCAAAAAAAAACACTGTTCATTATGTTTTACTGTTGTCCTAAAAAAAGAACACTACTTGCCTGTTATTTACACTTGCGTTAAGAGATCACTGTTAGGCCTATTGTATGATTAACACTATATCCTTTTAAAAAGTTAAAATTCAAGGAACTTGTGTAAAAATTATTCAAAACTTGCAAATTTTCAAACGATCAACATTTTTAACTTACACAGTTAAAATCTTTATTCTGAGACTGTTTAACGGTCATAAAACAACCACTCTATCAAGTATCACTGAACCAAGTGCCGAGTAAGATTCTACATGTTAAAAAGCTGTATCAAGTACCACTGAACCAAGTGCTGAGTGAGATTCTACATGTTAAAAAGCTGTATCAAGTATCACTGAACCAAGTGCTGAGTGAGATTCTACATGTTATAAAGCTGTATCAAGTACCACTGAACCAAGTGCCGAGTGAGATTCTACATGTTAAAAAGCTGTATCAAGTATCACTGAACCAAGTGCTGAGTGAGATTCTACATGTTATAAAGCTGTATCAAGTACCACTGAACCAAGTGCCGAGTGAGATTCTACATGTTATAAAGCTGTATCAAGTATCACTGAAGCATTGTTATTCCAATGTAATTTTAAAGTTATTTAAAACGAAAGTACAATAAGGGAAGAAAAATTATTTTCAGACTTCTTTTTTGTTTTATTTTTGCCAACTGTTGTTAATAGATGGCGCCCCCTACTCTTAATTTCAGAAATTCCGTATTAAACTTGAACTTACGTATCTGTTCTAGTGTTATTGTTATAATAAAGGGCAGCTTTTGCTTTGTAACTTAATCCTCAAAGACCAGCGATCCATTAGTTTGAATGTTCGTCATTCGTATATTCAGCTGTAAAACATAGTAAGTTTTTAAGGTACAAGAATTATACAGTAGGCCTAAAATGTGGGATAAAAATCACATGAGTTTATGTTTAAATTGTAACATTTAAAGGATTGTACTGCATATGTGAATAGAATTTCAGAGAATCTTTGGTCTCTAATCGTCCAAGAAAATTGACGAGTTTCGGTATTATACTAAAGGCCTCTGTGGGACACAAAAGATAGATCTGAAGTGATATTTTTTCTGATTTTGAATCCGAAATGGACAGATTAAAAGGAATTTCTAAAACAAAACATGTACAATTTATGTAATTTTGTAGTAAATTTTATTCCTATTGGTTTCAAGTGGTTTCCTAACTCTCAATGTTTAAACCACAAGAATTATTTAAGTTAAGCCATAGTATAAAAATAACATACAAAAAAGCAAACAATTGCCCTGCAGGGAACACAAGTTATAATCAAAGAGAAAAGCAATTGTCCAACAGTGGACACGAGTTTAAAAGTAAACAGCTGGCTTAAAAGAAACGTTTCTTGTTAATGGACACAGATTAAAAAACAAAAGAGTTTCTAATAGGGAGTAGAGTTTGAAACAGAAGAGATTTAAAACAGTTGTCTTCCTGACAGAGGACAGAAGTTAAAAAAAAAAAAAACGAAGAGAGATAAAATCTTATGCACAAACCACAAAATAACTGTTTGACTAGTTCCTAGTTCCACTCCTTCCATTTGGGCGATAAAGATCGTTGCCAAAACCATCATCATGGCCGATCCATTCATGTGAACTGTCATCCCCAGAGGGAGCACTAATCGCGTAACGACGTGGTTGGTTTTGTTCTTTTCTTCCATACACTGCAGAGTCAGGGGTAAAGTTGCCGAACTGGAATGGAACTGTCTATGTAACTCGAATCACGTTTAGTATTTATACAAATTTTCAGACATTTACCTTCGTTAAAAAGTAAAATTATTATATAAATGTATTTAGATAAATAAACTGAAGTTTAAATTCACCTTTTCTGTTCAATACCACAAAAAATGAAAATAAACTACTAATTTTTTACACAGAACGAGATGTTTAATTTTCATAAAGCTATTCGTGGCTGTGGGCACTAGCAATCCCTAATTTTGAAGCTACAGACTAGAGGGAAGTCAGCTAGTCAACTCCAACCAACCTCTTTAATTGAATAGCGGGATTTGACCAACACAGTTTTAACGAATCCACGCCCACGATTGATTTTGTGTGTGTGGTAACGGGGCGCGAACCTATGATCCATAGTCAGGCATGCTAACCTTTAGGGCCATCTTCACCTAAAAGTAATATGTTAGAAACAAACTGGTGTTTGATTTTAAGAAAATAATAAATTTTCAGGTTATTTAATGAACTACGTGAATATGAAACGTAAACAATATGGGGATTAATACATGATTTGGGTTATTAAACTTCCTTTATATCAATTTATTCCTTCACAATTTGCCCCCCAGCAGCATGTCCGCGGACTTACAACGCTAGAAACCGGGTTTCGATACCCGTGGTGGGCAGAGCACAGATATCCCATTATGTAGCTTTGTGCTTAACTTCAAATAAACAAAACCTTCACAATTTGTAAAAATTATCAATATGTATGCAACTCTGGTAGCTTAGTGGTAAGCTTGGAAAGCGCTAAAATTCGTGGTTCGATTGAGTAGCTTTGCGCTTAAGAAACCTAACAGGAATTAAATATAAAAGTGTTTTTTTTTCAGTGCTTAATGTTTTGACATTTCACCGTTTTTACACGTTTCATTCATCTCTGGAGGCGAAGATTATTTTTGCTTCAGTAAATTCCCTTACCTTGAAGATGATCCAAAGGCCATAATCAAAGCCGAAAACAGATTCATATGGAATTTCACTGGATTTTTCCTGACAATCAGAATGTAGAGTACAGGTAAAAGAATAAAATGATGGAAAATTAGGCCTCCCATGAGAGTTCCAATGTACTTTCCAACACTAAGAAATAGTTTTGAAATTGATTCTGTCCTCATTCCTTCCTGGCATATCCAAGAAAACATGGCGATCGGTAAGAACCTGCAAAAAATAAAAATGAATAATTAAACTTGGAAAGACGACCAGTGGGAGACAGACATTGAAATAGATTAAAATGTGTTTGTATCTTGTATATATAGCAAAGCTAATAAGGCTATTTACTGCCATCCTTAATTTGAATCACTGACCAGAGGGAAGGGATACAGTCAGCAACACATTACCACCGACGTTAATGGATTGATTTCACTCTTATTGGATAGTCAACATGGTTTCACTAAGGAAAAATCTTGCCTTACAAATCTATGAACATTCTTTGAAACAGTTATTGCTTATGTAGATGAGGCTAAGAGTGTGGATCTGGTGTCTGTGGATTTTCAGAAAGCATTTGACAAGGTGCCACATAAGAGGCTTGTAAAAATTAGCTCTATAGGTATGGGGGATGAGTTAGCAAATTGGATAGAAGAGTGGTTAGATGGGAAAAAGCAGAGGGTTGATACAAATGGAGTTCAGTCAAACTGGATGAATGTCACAAGTGGGGTACTCGGGGCTCAGTCTTAGGACCTTTGCTCTTTTTGATTTACACCAATGACACTGATGAAGGAATAGTCAATAGATTACTTAAATTTGCAGATGATATTAAGGTCTTGGGTGTTGCTAGCTGTGAAGAAGATGATGCTGATTTACAAAAGGATTTAAATCATTTAGTGAGTTGGGCAAATAAATGGGAAATGAGTTTTAATTATAATAAATGCAAGATAATGCATGTGGGTTATTGTAATTTTTGGATTATAAGTATAATTTGGATGGGGATAACTCTAACAGTGTTATGAAGGAAAGGGATCTTGGTGTAATAGTCGATCAGTCTCTTAAGCCATCCAAGCAGTGTGCTGTTGCTAGTGGTAGGACAAACAGGTTTGTAGGTTGTATCTACAGTAATATTGATTACAAGTCTAAAGAGGTTATCATTTCATTGTACAGGTCATTGGCTAGGTCACACTTGAAATATTGTGTTCAGTCTTGGGCTCCTTACCTTAAGAAAGACATTGAATTGTTGGGAAGGATTCGGAGAAGGGTTACTAGAATGGTGCCTGGGATGGAGGGGTTGTCATACAAGGAGAAGTTGAAATCTCTCAAATTGTCTTCTCTTGGAGGTAGATCTGATTGAGGTGTTTAAGATTGTAAAGGGAATTGATAGCGTTGATGCATCATCTTTTTTTATACTTAACAGTAAGAATAGAAGGACTAAGGGACACAAATATAACTTCTGGCAAGGTAAGAGGCATCTTCAGTTTTATTTTTCTAACAGGGTGGTTGGCCTTTGGAATGGGTTACCTATGGATGTTATGTAGGCAGTAAATTTAAGTGAGTTTAAGAGAAAGCTTGATAAGTATATGAATGATAAGGGCTGGCTTTAAGATTTTAAAAAAATTATTTATTTATAGTTTTACTTTAGTTTAGAGGATGAAACAGCCGAGATGGACAAATAGGTCCTATGTTGTTCCCAAACGTCACGATGTGTTTTAACACACCACATATTGAAGTGTGAGGAACCCGGCTTGCGAACTCTGAAATCCAGAGCTCCTCCATACGGCCACAAACGTGACATCTAGTGTCAGAAGCTACCACTAAAAGACACCTGGAAATATGTTGAAACATGAAATCATTTAATAACCCAGAACAATGCATTCAGTTCACCTTAAAACAAAATACAAATTTCTGTCTTTCAAGGTTGTTTCCAAGAGCTTTGTTGCAGGAGTAACACTGTAGACAGCTCACATGACTAGTATGAAGAGCTTTGTTGCAGGAGTAACACTCTAGACAGCTCACATGACTAGTATGAAGAGCTTTGTTGCAGGAGTAACACTCTAGACAGCTCACATGACTAGTATGAAGAGCTTTGTTGCAGGAGTAACACTCTAGACAGCTCACATGACTAGTATGAAGAGCTTTGTTGCAGGAGTAACACTCCAGACAGCTCACGTGATTAGTGGGAAGATATTTTTTTGGGAGTAAGACTCCTTGTCTCTTACGTCAACGTATACTTACCACATGATATACTGCATTATCTTGTTAATTATCAAGTTAATCTCGTCCACAATGTCCTTGAGAGTCTTCACTTGGTCACCTAGAACTGCCATTACAGCTCCTATCACAAGGCTACAAAAGAGAAGTCCTGCAAAAATGAAGATTTTTAATCATTTAGTTGAATGACTACGTCTATTAAGAGAATCGTACAACTACAAATACCTTGAATATAAGACTAAAGTTTACTATTTTGCATACCAGCATAAAGAACTAAAGTAAAGGAATCGTTTTGCTTGTTCTTGTTACAGAGGTGTGTTGTTGTTTTATATCATTGGAGGACATGTATCTTGTTATAGACGTGTGTTGTTGTTGTTTTATATCATTGGAGGGCATGTATCTTGTTACAGAGGTATGTTGTTGTTGTTTTATATCATTGGAGGACATGTATCTTGTTACAGAGGTGTGTTGTTGTTTGATATCATTGGAGGACATGTATCTTGTTACAGATCTGTGTTGTTGTTTTTATATCATTGGAGGTTATGTATCTTCTTACAGAGGTGTGTTGTTGTTTTATTTCATTGGAGGACATGTATCTTGTTATAGACGTGTGTTGTTGTTGTTTTATATCATTGGAGGGCATGTATCTTGTTACAGAGGTATGTTGTTGTTGTTTTATATCATTGGAGGATATGTATCTTATTATAGACGTGTGTTGTTGTTGTTTTATATCATTGGAGGGCATGTATCTTGTTACAGAGGTATGTTGTTGTTGTTTTATATCATTGGAGAAAATGTATCTTGTTACAGAGGTGTGTTGTTGTTGTTTTATATCATTGGAGGACATGTATCTTATTACAGAGGTGTGTTGTTGTTGTTGTTTTATATCATTGGAGGTCATGTACCTTGTTACAGAGGTGTGTTGTTGTTGTTTTATATCATTTTATTAGTGTCCATTGAAGGACATGTATTTACTTTGTTGAATATTACGTTTCCCTGAGTTTGTTGGTATATGTCTCACTCAAAATATCTAAAGAAAAGTACCACCAATATTTTTCTTAAGTATTCTAATTATATCTTGAGTTTCCGATGTTTTTTTTACATAGAAAATGAGTAAGGTTACAAGGTTTTGTCATTTCATTAAATAAAGGTTGTAACTTATTAATTCAACATAATGGATTATTTATAATCTCTTCCTCTCAGTAATAAAGGGTATAAAAACAAGTTGGTAAATTGAATAAACTGCCTTATTAAGTTTCTTACTTATATAAGCTTTTAAACTACATATTATACTCATCTCTTTAGTGATTGGTTATCCAATTTTCGTTGCTGAAACTGACAAGAGTAGTGATTGGTTAACTCATAACTTGTTGTTGAAACTGACAAGAGTAGTGATTGGTTAACTCATAACTTATTGTTGAAACTGACAAGAGTAGTGATTGATTAACTCATAACTTGTTGTTGAAACTGACAAGAGTAGTGATTGGTTAACTCATAACGTGTTGTTGAAACTGACAAGAGTAGTGATTGGTTAACTCATATCTCATTGTTGAAACTGATGTGAGTAGTTAACTCATACCTCATTGTTGAAACTGTCGTGAGTGAAATATTAAAGGTTTCCTGTTAACTGACCCATTTAGAGTTTACAATTTATTAGTGTATTATTAACACTTTCCTCTTAAATAACCAATTTGTGGTTTACAATTTATTAGTGTATTATTAACACTTTCCTCTTAAATAGCCAATTTATGGTTTACAATTTATTAGTGTATTATTAACACTTTCCTCTTAAATAACCAATTTGTGGTTTACAATTTATTAGTGTATTATTAACACCTTCCTCTTAAATAGCCAATCTGTGGTTTACAATTTATTAGTGTATTATTACCACTTTCCTCTTAAATAGCCAATTTGTGGTTTACAATTTATTAGTGTATTATTAACACTTTCCTCTTAAATATCCAATTTGGAGTTTACAACTTATTAGTGTATTATTAACACTTTCCTCTTAAATATCCAGTTTGGAGTTTACAACTTATTAGTGTATTATTTACACTTTCCTCTTAAATAGCCAATTTGTGGTTTACAATTTATTAGTGTATTATTAACACTTTCCTCTTAAATATCCAATTTGGAGTTTACAACTTATTAGTGTATTATTTACACTTTCCTCTTAAATAGCCAATTTGGAGTTTACAACTTATTAGTGTATTAT